GTTCACCCTAGCTGACCTCAGCCACCTCCCGACATTGGAGTGCCTAATGGGGACACGTGTCAAGGCGATTATCGAGGCCCGGGCCCACGTGCACGCCTGGGCCAAGGATATCCTGGCCAGGCCAGCCTGGCAGAAGGTCGTTGCGATGAAAAACAACCCCTGAATTTGATGCAGCTAATGAATTCAGCTATAAAGGAGTGTTTTACTTTCACGGTTTTACATTTTTTTCATGTGGGCGTGCTCTTCTTTGCTCGCCTTTTGTTTTTGTTGTGTGATGTTGCTGCTTTTTCACGCGTTTGAGGTTGAAAAAAATTTGAAGTTGTCTGTTGCGTTGATCGCTGATGAATAAATTTGGTTTTGTGATTCTCTGTTTTTCGCTGATCGAGAGCATGCTGCATACCTCGCACGTGCATATGCTGATAAGAGCAAACAAACTAAATTCTCACCAAATATAACTCATTAAGATATTTGTACTTAAAGTTGTTGTATGTAGGACTGGAGATGAGTCAAGTCAAGTTAAATACGGACCTTCTCGTGCGCAGATCAAACTTTTTTTTTCTTCACTACTCGAGCTCGAGTTCAACGAGACACATAAAACAATGTTCTACTCGACTCCTGAGAAAAAAATTAGAATGCTCGAGCTGAAATCGATGTTCAAGATCGACTCAATGCTCAATATGACTCGAGTTCAGCTAGAGTTCTTTACAACTTAAATTTATAATAAGCATTTGGCTTGCTTCGAGATGAGTACCTCATTAATACATGAGCATTTGGCTTGTTTCGAGATCGGCTTGTTTGAGCTCGGCTCAATTCGCCTCATTTTATAAATGTATAACTTTAAGATGCTATATATCAATCAATCAATCAACCAACAAACCTCACTGAAAATGAAATGTCACTTGGCAAATACAATTTTTAGCTCTAGTGTTTTATTTAAAATACATAAAAATAATAATTTTTTAAATTAAAAATAAGGTAATTCGAGAAAAATAAGTATGTTTGGGGCAATGTATGGGCCCATGAGCTCAAGCTGTTACTAAACGGGAAATTTACACACACTAGTAGATATCCTGTGCACATGCACAGATGTACATAAAATATTAGTAAGTAATATTTGAGAATTTAATATTAAAATTCTAGATAATGAACATATTACATTTTAAAAAATTTGAACATTAGGAAAAATAAATTAACGATTTTATTATTATGAACAATTGTTTATTATCATTAGATAATAACAGTTTGATTATTATTATTATTATTATTATTATTATTATTATTATTATTAAAATAATAATTGTTTATAAGCTTCTTAAGTTGTTTGACTATGCTATTAAAACAATTTACTAATTGTTTTTAAAGAAATTTTTTCATGAGATACAAAAAAAAAAGATAATATTGATGTTAAAATACATAACTTGAAACAATTGTTTATAATTATGTAATTTAAATTTATTATGAATTATTATTAGTTGGTATTAGCAATAACTAATATATAATATAATAGAAACATACATGATTAAACTCATTAAGATGTATTAATGTGAGAAGTAAAAAATATGAATGACAAATTTTGTAACCGAAAATGGAGGGAAGATTTTAGAGGTTTTATTAAATGTTTTATTAAATGTTACATGCCAGCAATTATATATATATAGATATTATTTTTAAAATTACGATGCTATGAGTCTTTTGTTAAATGTGAAATTCTGTGGATAACTATTATCATATCTACGGTTACTTTTCCTAACTTATGTACTCAATTAATCCGATACTTATGCATTTTGAACAGTTTTTCTTTTTTTTGTTTTCCTTTTTCTTTTCTTGTATTAAAACAGAAATTCAAATATGATACTTACCATATTGTGTACGAGATTTTACAAATTAAACCGGAGAAGGCGATATTCATCTCCATTTTTTGTTTTGAATTGTAGAAAAAAAAAAAACGATCGGAGCTATAGCTCCTAAATTAGACGTTTTTTTTTTTAAAAAAAAAAAAAATTGTTAAAGAAATATGCTTTTTTTGTGTGTTTATGTTTGGTTTTGTTTCTATATTTTCATATTACATGAGTTGCAGTTTAAACCACAAAATATATTGCCTAATAACCACCAAATATATATTTAGATATACTGTATATATACATCAGATAAATATGATCGGACAGTTCTCTAATATTAACCGTGTAGTTATACATAAGATAAACAACACATAAACAATTTTGAAACGGTATAAAACATAATACACAATTCTGAATGACTGCAAAATCTAAATCAAATGCAGTTATACATAAGATAAACAAGTCTGAGATTTATGTTTTTTACATTGAATCTAATGTATATATACGTTATATAATCAACATATAAGCATTTCTGTAAAGACATGATAACAGTTGAAAAATACATTTCTGAAAAAGATTTATGTTTAACATTTCTGTAGAAACATGATAACGAAATTCTACACTCGTTTCACCAATGCACACTACAACTTTAATTGTTTTCCCTTATTTTCCTTCCAGGACAATACCAGAACAACTTATTGAGGTTACAAAATTATCAACTACTACGTGATTAAGGTTTCTATCTAAGGTAATGTAAAGAGAAACAATCACATCAATATGATGCTTGGCAAGGATTCATATACACCCAATGACACCTGATTGGAGAATAACTTGCTCGTGGTTAGACTGCAATTCAAATCTTTGTCATACATTGTAAAAATTATGCTTCACTCGAATTTGATTCTTCCTCCTCACCAATTTCGAAAAACGAATCGGACCCTTGTTCATTGTGAGAGTCAACAATTTTCTCTTTCCCCTTGTTTTCTCGAGCCTTGTTTTTCTTGGTGTGGGCGATCAACTTATTTTCTTTTGGTTAAATTTTATGTTCAGAAAAAAAATCATCGCCATCGTCGGCCCACACTCGGCCGTCTCCGTATTAGATTTTTTGGCACGGCTCGGGCCTCGGGGCCTCCATTTTCTGAAATTGGAGCTTTTTTCTTTCACTTTTGGAGGATTTGACATCAATTTTTTTTCGCTTTTCCATTCTTCAATTAACTGCAAAGATTAGTTCAATTGTTTTTTATAACCGATATGAAGTTTTTTTAGTGACAGACGAAGTTTTTTTTTTTTTTTTGGATGAAGTTCTTTGAGAGAAAATGGTTGATTTCTTTAGTGAAGATGACTAAAATTTTCGGTGATAGATAATGGCGAGATGAAGTTCTTGGAAAGATAATGGAGAGATGAAATTATTTATTGATGGTAGATGGAGTTTACACTATTTAGAGAGAGGATACGAGATTTGTTTTCTTATTTTTAGTTGAGTGTAGATGTTGTAGATTGATACGATTCCCGAATATCATGCAAGATTTTAATTGAGTGTATTTTTTGATTGTTTTTAAAAACTGACTCAAAGGCCATAATTAAATGTAATTATATAATTAATTAATACTTAGTACATAATTGTGATGAATAATTTCTGTTCTGGTACACTTAATCTATATATATATTAAACTGAAGCAGCTGGAAAAAAATTTGCTTTCCCTCCCATTTTATATTAAATGTTACTCATTAATGGTTTGATAAAATCAATAAATATTGTCTAAAAATTAAAAGTCTTATTGAAATTGTGTATAATAGATAATAATATTATTGAGAATGTTGAATAAGTTGATAATTGTTTAGAATGTTGTGCTAATTCTACACATCTCTATAAAACTAATAATTAGATCAAACAAAAAAAAAACATAATGATTAATGTCAAATTTTCTATTAATTGTCCTCAATGGACTATTTCTTTAAATTTTTAAAACCTTCCACTTTGGATATTTTAAATTATAAAACTATATTATGTTTTCATTATAAAACCACAATATAAGAGCCTAATGTAGTCTTAATTTAGTTATACATGTTTCACAATTGTGCATCATTTTGAAATTGTAAATTCGTAACCACATAATATAAAACCTAACATATATTTAATTATAATAATGCGGTAAAATAAAAGTTTATAGAATTTAAAAGATTAAAAGACATCATTTTTATAGGATGTCTTTATGTTTAATTCATTGAGTAAAATTTTCACTGCAAAAAATCATAAAAACTAAACAGAACATTATAACATATTAACAATTATTCTCAAAATTAAAAGTATATACATATCTATACAATTGAAATATCAATAAAAAATATTTTTCTTTCAAAACTTTATTTATGTTTATGAGATCGACATATTTGTATTGAAACATATTATACATATAAACAAAACTAGAAAGAAGATACAAAGAGAAAGCAATGACAAAAATAATAAAGTTAAATTTTACATGTAGTTAAATTAGAAGAGACATAATGTTCAAAATAAAAAAATAAAAATGCATCTATAGGTTTTTTTGGGTCAAGGTGTAAACCAAGTGAAAATAGGTCTAAAAAATTGCAGATAACCTACTTGGGAAGTAAAATTATTTAAATTTAGGTTTCATAACCATAACAATAGAATTAAATTTATACATAATAACACATTGGAAACTTCACTCCAATTTTCATGGTCAAATAAATTTGAAACAAATTCGTCAAATTCTATGTAGACCAATATAATGCGGCAAAATAAAAGCTTATAGCATAAAAATTGAAAACCTAGCAGTTATAGATAATTCAAATAATATCAATATATTGTTTCTATTAAAGGCTAATTTAAAAATATTATTATTGTAAATTTCCAATCCAATTTTTCATTTACATTTTTCCTATCTTCACAAATGATTATAAAATTGTTTTTATTGATTGGTGGACCAGTCCAAGTTTAATTATAACCTCATATTTATTAAATATATCCATATTTACCTTTTCAACCGATCGATAACTTAAAAAGAGAAAACATGACGAAATAAATTCCAAAAAAAATCTATTAAAATATTTAATTCTTAAAGAGTTCTAATATATTCATATGGAGCATTATATATCATAATCATAAAAAAATATTCAAAATACATTAAAATAGCTTCGATTGTGAAGTATGGAGAGGAAAATACATATATATCGTTCAATTTTTAATTAATTTCCAGTTATATATTAGGCATTTTCATATTGATTTTGTTGTGATTAGGAGTATGTTGTTTGGCCAAAATACATAGTTTGTATAATTTTGTTAATATTTCGTCAGTACAATTTATTTTACCTTTTTCCAAAATCTTGAAGAGACCATTTAGACGTATGTGCATAGTTTTTTTTTTCATTTTAGTTTATTTCTTGGCCCATATTTATGTAATTATATATTTTTGAAAAGAAAATGCCTAATGGGTAATCTTATTATTAATTTTTGTTTATATATCGATCATTAAATTTTTAGAATGGCCAGATTGTGACAGATAAAATTTCACACAACATACTAAAGATGCAACAATTATATTTTCTTTATTACATAGCACAAGTGTTTGTTTACTTTTTATTATTTTAGAATTATATATTATAATTTAAATATTTTTATTCTTATTATTTTTCATGAATTTATCAACATGTATTTAAAAAATAAGTTAAATTAAAATTATCATAAATTCCATGTAAAGTAAGTGTTGGTGTTGACCTAACATTGACTATTACCATTTTGAATGTTTCAGGAATATAGTTTGGAAGTAAAATATCTTAAAAGTCTAAAAAAAATATATATTTTGATATATAGACCTAATGTTTTCTTACTGTTAACAATTAGACGGACATACACTGTTAAGTTTGTATGCGAAATAAAAAATGAGATGGTTTTGTGTTAGAACATGACATGAAGTTAGGTTTCGTTTATGGGTAAGCGATATGGTAATGATACGAAATGAGTATTGTGAAAAGAGAAAAAAAAAAGAGAAAGAAAATGATGACAGAAAGAGTGAGAGTATCCCAACCATAAGAAAGAGGGAACAGTAATGGCGTGATTTTTATTTTGAAGACTGGGCAAGAAAATACATATTTATTATTCTATTATTCAGTGAAAATCTATATTATACAAGGTCTTTTATATGTATTTCAGTACCAATTAATTAAATAGTTTGAGCCAAAAAAGTATCGTTATTTAATTTAATTTATTTTTAGTTGGTATCATTTGTTCTATATAGGTCTAAAATTTGAGATAAATAACAATTTGCTATTAAAGAAACTATCATCATTTTAACTTTTATCGATCTTCAAGTATGTAGCTGTTTTTTTTTTAATGAATAAAATAACATATTGTCATCAATATTATTAATTTTTTATTCATATAACACATATACCAACTACTTTTTTCTTATCATATATCATTAATGTTTGTTTAAACAAATAATTTTTATTATTTTAGAATTTATGTAATATAATTTAAATGTTTTTTTCTTATTACTTTACAAAAATTCTGTCCATGTACATTTCTAAAATTATAGTAAATAACATTTCTTATGATTTCCAAGTGAAAAACAAGTGATATGTTATTTACTTGAACTTTAACTATTAACGACCTATCTGTAACTTTACAAAAAAATGATCCATTATGCACATATTCTCATATCACCCTCACACTTATTTTACTAAAAATAAATGGCTGATATTTAATTTTTTTAATAAAAAGTAAAACACGTGGGTCTAATTTAAAACTAGATACATGAGACCAAAAGTTGGGCCGTCTTTGTGTTTTTAATCAAGCATTCAATTTATGTTTCTTAATTTTAATTGACTCATATATGTTAACATTAATTATGTGCATAGCAATTTATTTGTATAATACTAACAATGACTTTATTTTGTTTCAAGATAATGAAAACTATTTTATTAAAGAGACAATTTTATAAATAAAAAAAATCAGGAAATTAATATGACAAATACTTTATTATATTGAATATCCCATATATGTTTCTTTTTTGTAAGTTTAATGAATTTAATTTTAAAAATTTGAAGGAAAAAACATATTCTATATTTTAATCACATACTGTCGCACATTATTGTTGTTTCTAGAGTTATAATTTTTTTTAATAAAAATTTTAAGATGTGATAAATCAAAAAAATATTATACTTTTTATTGAATAACTTTTCATTCATTTGAATTATTATGTACCCACATCACTTATAACATCAGGTCGCGCATCGCGCGGGTAGCGTACTAGTAATATTTTCATACCAAGTGTACAGGGGGTAATTTTCTCTTACTACGGAATCTGGTCTATTAGATTTAAGGCCCATTGGTATTTGTTTACTTTATGATGATGCACGAACTGACGTAATTACCATCCACAGTTACTACGCAAACAAAACGAACTTTACCTCTGAAGACCGAAGAGGCTTCTGAATACTTCTCAAAGGAAATTACTTAATTAAAATAAATTTGACTGCACTGCCCTTAGTGTGGAACCTTCCAATTTAATGTAATCAATTTATCAGCTTTTTCTTTTTCGTTTTTTCAAACATAAATTCAAAGAGACATGTTCAGCATGCAATACCATTTTCCCCTAAAGCCATAATCTCCGACGAGGAATACGCAAACATATTGAAATTCACCACTCAAACATATCATTTCACGAGCCCAATAATCAGTCAAAAGTTCCAGAAAAAAATAATAATAATAATAATAATATTAATAATAAAATAGTTTATTCATCTAAAACTAGTATAAATACATGCACCATCTAATGCATCTATCATTCATAAACAAAAAAAAAACCATTGATCAATAGTAATTAATTAAGTTTCTTTCGATTAATTAAAAATGACGATGAAGGTGTACGGTATGGTGTTCTCGCCTCCAGTGCAGAGAGTTCTCGCATGCCTCCATGAGAAGGAACTCGATTACGAGTTTGTCCAAATCGACATGAAAGCTGGAGAACACAAGCAGGAGACTTTCCTTGCCCTCAATGTAAGCACATATCCAAAAATATTAACTAAAATTTCGAAGTATATATATATTGAACTCTCTTGAATGTCTTTTTTTGTGCAGCCATTTGGAAAAATCCCAGCTTTTCAGGATGATGACCTGAAGCTCTTTGGTAATTATCAAATTCGGTCAATTTATCGATCCGTCTTTTTGTATTGTAGTAACTCGGTAATAATTATTGTAATGCAGAATCGAGGGCAATCAACAATTACATTGCATTTGCACATGCCCAGAAAGGGACTCCACTCGTCTTCACAGAGCCCAAGAAGATGGCGATTGTGTGCCTTGGGCTTGAGGTCGAGGCCCAGCATTTTGACCCACCAGCATCGCAGCTCATCCGTGAGCTCCTAGCCAAGCCTCATTTCCTGGGGATGGCTACAGACGAGGCTGTTGTAAACGAGGAAGAAGCCAAGCTGGCAAAGGTCCTCGACGTGTACGAAGCCAGGCTGGCGGAGTACAAGTACTTGTGTGGGGATGCGTTCACCCTAGCTGACCTCAGCCACCTCCCGACATTGGAGTGCCTAATGGGGACACGTGCCAAGGCGATTATCGAGGCCCGGGCCCACGTGCACGCCTGGGCCAAGGATATTCTGGCCAGGCCAGCCTGGCAGAAGGTCGTTGCGATGAAAAATAACCCCTGAATTTGATGCAGCTAATGAATTCAGCTATAAAGGAGTGTTTTACTTTCACGGTTTTACCTTTTTTCATGTTGGCGTGCTCTTCTTGGCTCGCCTTTTGCTTTTGTTGTGTGATGTTGCTGCTTTTTCACGCGTTTGAGGTTGAAAAAAATTTGAAGTTGTCTGTTGCGTTGATCGCTGATGAATAAATTTGGTTTTGTGATTCTCTGTTTTTCGCACGAAAGGAAAAAAAGAATGCAACAAATCAAAGACTAAATACAGATAACAGTGCTCTGCGCTCGCCATCACTATTTTGTTGTGGAATTTCAAAACTCTCAGAAACTAATTTGGGAATCACCAGAAGTTAACCACATATTAGTTTTCATGTAAAGAGAAGAAAAACACAAAGATCTCTTAAAATGAAAAGCTCATTCTATTTCTAGACTCAAAACTTCGAAGGAACATTAGGTTGTAAATGTACTTAGGCCGAGCAGCAGTGTCCAAACCAGATATCACATTGATGAGACAAAATGAACATGTTTCTTGAATTCTTCGACTCGAGTACAAAATTCTTTGACATTCATACTCAATGTTATTGCCATCCTAACAGCAGACTTCAAATTCGGGAAAGATGAACACCAAAAAAAGTTAATAATAATAATAATAATATAAAATCAGACTGTTCATCAATGTAAGAGCAAAATCTGCAAAAGGCGAAGATAATGTGGCCTTATGAAGCGTGATCCCTTACCTCGGCACCAATTTTCTTCACTCGATTTCCTGAGTGCGATTGAGAGCATACTGCATACCTCGCACGTGCATATGCTGATAAGAGCAAACGAATTAAATTCTCACCAAATGTAACTCATTATCCATTATTTCAATCATGTAACTACATTTGAACTTCAATTACAGTTCAAAAGTCGAAAGAATAATACCCTTGATCGTGCTATTACACTCGTAAGAATTTACCAAAAAAATCCTCATAAGAATCCTACACTGTCTGTCACAAAGCCTTTCGAAATACAATAACACCGAAAAGAACAGAAATAAAAGCCACAATAGCTCCATTTCTAGAAAGTCCAAACTCAGCCCACGTCAATGGCTTGCTGACGTGTACTAATACCTCTTCAAAACGTTCATTCAGATCTCCCAATGACCCCGAGTTATCGATCACAATATCTGCTTTGGACTTTTTCAGATCAAGAGGCATCTGAGCATTAATCCTACTTTTGGCCTCTTCGGATGTGGACCCATCTCTCAACATAAGCCGCTCGAGTTGGGTGTCTGGGTCGGCCCATACTACGATAATGGGCTTAGTCCATCTGTCCATCTTGGCCTCAAACAACAAGGGCACGTCAAGAACAATTATTTTACAACCCTTGATCCATAGCTTGAGAACTTCATAGAAAATCCCAAATGAAATGTAAGGGGCCAGTAACCTGAGAGCATCACCGATAATTTTTCAGATAATTTTGATACCGATTATAAATAAATCCGTACTTAATGCCGTTCAGAAAAATCTAAGTGCTAATCTCATATTTGTACAAAATCGTAAAACGACCCATGCACCAACCCTCCAGAAGCATAGAATCTGTTTCTGAACAGAAAAGGGTATTCAAGAGTGTTAATTATCAAGCATTCACTTGAATGAACAAAAATAGCTTTTCCGCGAACTTTACTGGATATCACAGTCTACAACAGTAACGACATGTTTAATGTCTCGATTAGTATACCAATGCAGAGATACTAAACTAAGCTCAGCCTACTTTGCTAAGGTAATTTCAGATCAACTAAAAACTTATTAGAACCTTTTTCAAGACAGTGTTCAAAGTAAAGATCAAATCTTTACCGAGATTTCACCAATGATTATATTGACAGCAAGTTATTGAGAGCACAACTGGAATCCAAGCTTTCTTAACTCGAGCAATACAAAACAAAAAGGCAGAATGTAACAAAATTACCGATTAAGAAGCTGGCGTCTATCAGGATCATTAAACACGATCTGGCCCAGCTTCGGCCGATCAACTTCTCCGGTAGAGAGCAAAATTTCATCCCCAAATGCAGCCACCACTTTTCTCCATCCACCGGTCCCTTTCTTCAGGACATTCTACAGAACCCCAACAAGCAACATAAGTAAGTGCAACGGCACAGGGAAATAATTTCAGAAAACGGACTCTAACAATTTACAAAATTTGAAAGAGAGAGGTCATACGCGAGCGATGACATCAGCATCGACAACGGGGATACCGTGAGCTTTGAAGAGGTTGGATACTGTGCTTTTTCCGGAGCTTATACCTCCGGTCAATCCAACTATTCTCATATCGGCCGGGAAAATGAATTCCGGCTGACTTTACCTGCAAAAGTGAAAACGAGTTGAGTGCAGTCTGTGCAGATATCTGCAGTGATCAATCTCGCCCATCCCATTAAAAACACATCCAATTGCCAATAATTTGTCCACGGTTAATTGGTTCGAAACAGAAATGAAAACTCATAGAAATTATTCAAAGGAGCCATTAATCAATTAATTACCTGAGTATTCCAGCCGAAGGAGGAAGCAGATATGAAGAATTTCGGTACTGAAATCGAAGGAGTAGCAATGGCCAAACCCTAATTTTGGTACCTCTTATAGAATAAAATAAATTATAAAACAAATAAATTATAAAACAATTCTCTATATTTGCCCATTTGGTCAGCGTTTAGTCGTAATAGTATAGGCTCTCCTTTCGTTTCGTCCTAGTTTGTAACTATTTATGACTGTTACATAATGTACAAATTTTCGGCAGAATAGTTTCGTTTCCGTAACGGACTGTAACATTTCCGTTATAGTTTGTAATCATTAAATCAACTATTTATGATTGTTACATAATGTACAAATTTCGGCAGAATAGTTTCGTTTCCGTAACGGACTGTAACATTTCCGTTATTACTTGATACTTTTGTTAGTTCTTTGCCTTGTTTATACTTTCAGTGTAGTGCCTTGAAACTGTTTGTTCAAATGCCTCAACGAGAAATATAGGCGGGTTACTTGACAAAAGGTTTTATAATTCTGAATTGCAGTTGTCCAGGCCAAGGCAAGCTTAACCAGTAATGTTTCTTTTTGCATTCCCAATCAGGTGACATTTTTCTGTTTTCAGGTTTTATACATTACATTATTGCATTACATTTCTGTTACGTCTCCAAGAATCTGATGATCTTCGTAGTGCATTTGGTTCATGTTTCGGTGACCGAGAGCTTTCTATTTTCCCTTCTCAGTTTATGAGAGTAACCATGATAATCCTATACAGTACTCAAAACACCCTCTCCATCATATGTTTCTAAATTTATGATCATTGAGGAATCTTAAAGTACGAGACGAGCACATAATTTACTATCCTTGTTCTTTTATGATTATTGCTTAAGGATCATTGTCTTTTTTTCAACAATTTGGCCTCTTTTTCCTATGTTCGTGACCTTTTTTTCTTTTTCGTAGTGCGAAGCTTTCATTTTTCGCCAATATAATGACACTTATGGTGCTAAAAATATTATTACTTCTTTTGGATGTTTGATTGTAAAGTGTAGAACCATATTGCATTCTACAGTACATTTGGTTTTTTTAATTGCGTAAATAACTCGAGCGGCATGAAAATTTGGCATATATGTAGTTGGAATCGTTTAAGCAATTGTCCTTGTAATTGGAAGACATTCTTTTACTACTTGTAGGGATTCTATGAGTGGGACAATGAGAATGAAAGTTTACAAGGTTTGCCTTATTAAGATGAGCCCCCTTCATGTGCCCATATCTAAAACTGGTTTCACAATAAACTGTGGAGCTCTAATTAATCCGCAATACAGTGAAAATAATCTCTCTTTCGAAAAATGACCTCATAAAGGAGCTCGGTTAAGACGTCACTTAATAGATAAGGCGTTTTCTTTGTACATCAAGATCAAAGTGTTCTCAGTCCTTAACCACACAAAAAGGAGGTCAGCTATTGTTCTGATCAAGTCACATAATATGGCTTTACAATGGTGCTTCTGATATGGCTTCCACAGTCAAGGGGCAGGTTAGTCATTTCATCTTTGCTACTTTATATATAAACTTGATCCTAAGTTGTCCATTTGATCAAATATTCCCCTCCATTTTTGTATCCAAGCTCTACACCAAGAGAGAAAGAGAATCGTTTTCTCACTCTCACGGCAACTCTTGATGGAGAAAGAATCTGCTAGCGGTGATTGCTGTGAACCCCTCACATACAAGGTAACTTTGTTTGATATCCCGATGTATTTTAACGATCATTTTCCGGCCTTTTTATCTGCTTGTTAATCCATACTTTTACTCGTATACTACTTTTATGCAGACATGGGCTTTGAGAGTGTCCATTCACTGTGTAGGCTGCAAGAGGAAAGTAAAGAAAGTCCTTCAAAGTATTGAAGGTAACATAATATTTTTGTCCTCATTTCTTTTTCTTTGGTTATTTATTTTGCATCATTTTTTTTTTTTTTCTAAAAAACACTTGATAAAGTCTTAATCTTTACTAGGAGTTTATAAGATAGAGATAGATGCAAAACAACACAAAGTCACTGTGGCTGGAAATGTCGAAGCCGAAACGTTGACCAAGAAGCTCATAAAATCGGGCAAAAATGCTTTCCTCTGGTCAGAAAATCCCGAGCCTAAGGAAAAGCAGAAGAAGCAGAAGGACTCCGATGAGGATGAGAGTGCTACCGATATCGAGCAAGTTGATAATCCGACGAAAGAAAGTAATGAAAATGGAAATGCAAACCAAAACGGTGGCGATAAAAAGAAGAAAAAGAAAAAGAAAAAGAAAAAGGGGAATTCGGGTTCAGCGAATGCTGCTGGTGGTGGTGCATGTGCACCAGCAGCAACAGGAAACGGTGGATCTAATCCACTGTCGGGAATCTCGGGCCCACCGGCCGACCAAATGAACCAGAACCTGCCACATCAGCAAATCCTTCCTTATCCGAACTTTTACTGCCCGGCCCCGGAATATGGGATGAGCTACAACAATGCTGCAAGTATGACTGCTTATTATACATACTCACGCCCGTATTATTACTCGCCAACTTTACCGTCTGAACCGGTCTTTGATCATAATCGTCGTGATGGAAGTTTTGCCGATGATGAAAACGGTTGCTCGATAATGTGATGCAACTTTTACTATGCCAGACTGTGATGCAAGTTTGTGTGTCTTGAAAACCTCATTTTCTCTTTACTCTCTGAGTAAAGAAGATTTTGTTTATCAAAGTTCAAAGCTCAGCCAGCTGAAAAAAAGTGAATGACCCAAGTGGGATTTATCCTTATGAAGGTGATGTCTTTCTTTGGTTGAGACCCTTTTATTTTCTTGATGTCCTTAGCTTCATTATAATGTATGTAATCATAAGTAATTGTAAGTCTTAAAGTCTTGAGACAACTATGAGTAATTGTTAGTTAGTGTTAAGGTCTTGAGGATCTAACTAGCTGTGCCCAGATGAGTTGTTCGTGTACATAACTCATTTGACTCGTGAAAACTCGAGCTTTTAACTGATCTCAGCTGAACTTGTTTGCTAACAACTTGTTTTTATTTTATTTTTTATATTTACTTTTTATGGGTTTTAAATGGAATAGTCGGGTCGAGCTTATACGCGAACAGAAATTTCATATTCAATAATAGCTCGTTTGAAGTTTTAGGTTTATTAATCGAGTTAAGCAGAGGCGAGCCTTTCCTAACACACTAGTTATTAAACGAGCGCGTCCCCGAATATGAGCTACTCGACTCGAATAACACCCCTACTATGCATGGAAAATGGTGTATTTTTGTGGTCTATATATCTAAGAATTGTTGTGGTGGAACATTGTGATTGTTTTCTTTTTTCTTTAGTTTTTTCTCTCTATTTTCTTGGGCTTCAATTTAGGATGGGATGCATTTTAAATCTTCACCTCTGGTGGGTCGGCTTCATAACAAAACCGTCTTTCACCTATGCATCTATTCAACTGCAAATTTACCAACTATTGCTCTAACCCAAGAGAAATTTACTCTTTAAGATAAAATGGGGATGATAAATCTTGAAAAATATGAGGACAAAAGATTAAAAGGAAAGGAATAAAGCAAGGAAAAAAAGGAAAGTTTGGCTAAACATATGGCTTTTTTGGACATCTCACTTATATTATCTTGCCAACGAGTGTGGTCATTTCCAATCCAATACGAATAATTACTTTTTGGTTTTTAATTTATATTGCTTTTAACTTTTATCTCATATAGAAGAATATGATCCAAAGGGATCATGGATAACGAGAATCTTGAATTTATAGCCTCATTTTTTGCATTATGGGAAAATTTTGTTTTCGCACTCAATCGAATCTTCCTTAATCACGACCACGTAAAATGCTCTCGGATGTGGGATTCTAATTGGATATGCAATTACTAAACACTTTGTAAGAATAATGCAACAAAATTTAGATGCACAAAAATAAAAATGCTACGTTAATATTATATTCACTGATTGTATGCGATACATTAATCTTTCGCTACATCAGTCGATCGATGAACATGTTAATCTTGTAATATGCTTATTTAGTAAATTTTAAATTCAACTACCGCCATATATGATTATATTAATTGAAAAATATTAATAGGTCCACACCATACCATGGACAGAAGAACATGATAGTCTAAAAATTGTATAATCAAGACTGGTTTAGTGAGAAATGTGAAGAAATTCACATTTCTAATGGGCTGATCAACAATAAGGCCCAGCTTCCACTTGTAAATACGGGCCAGTAGAGAATTATTTATGGGGCTAAATTAAATAATTCAAAAAAAAAAAAAAAAATTGACGGCAACCGTTAGATTTGGATAAACAGGTAATCTTTAGCTCATGTTTTCTTAATGGCCACCGCAGCTTTTGCGCCACCGCACCACGGCCGCCGCCGTTGCTCGCAGTCAAATTTCACGTCACATCGAATATCGGAAACATGCTTTTTCAGCGGGAATCGAGCTCCGCCCACATTTTTTCGGGCCACAATCGGGCCTATGAAAACCGCTCACGGCCTGCTGACCAACTGTTCCCCGTCCCCTTCATCCGCTTCGCCGGAAGTCAGTGCTCCCACGGCGGAGTCATGTATCAACTTGGGTCTTTCTCTTTTCGCCAAAGGACGGGTAATTTAACTTTTCTAATTCTCAGATTACGGCACAATGGAGGCAGACTCAGAATGATGAATTTTTCCTTCTGATATCTAGGAATTTATGCAATTATGCTTATGCCTAGTTTAGTTCAGATGATGTTGATGCTCAATTTCTGTCATTTTCTTACAGAGTATGAATACTTGTGAATTGATTGTATAAATGTGAAACAGGCAATTGTAGAATTAGCTGCTCTGCATTCAACTTATGACCATACTTTATTGTTTGTTTGGATTATCGAGTAAGTTGAGGTTTCAGTGAATTCAAGGCTTGTCTAGAGCTCAATGAACTTTGATTGGGTTTAGTTGGATTTGGTTTTGAGCTCAGTTTGTTCCGTAATTAAACTAAGCTCGACTCGTGAATGTGTTGTTTGTCTTGGCTCGACTAACCTGCAGACCCGCCCATCTACATTGTGCATCGATTTTTATTCTATGGCCATTTTTTGTTGCCTGAGGCTTCCTGATTGAATTTTAGTAGGGCTACTGCCTTCATGCATAAGTTATTGATTCAAAGTTTCTCTTGTGGATAGAGTTCATCCAAAATCCAGTGTTGATTTGCTCGGAATTTAATAATTCAGGTCAGAGATGCACTTGCACAGTTTGATACTGCTCTTACTTTGGATCCCAACCCTTTGGAGGCTCAAGCTGCTCTTTATAACAAAGCCTGTTGTCATGCGTATAGGTATGTTTTGATATATTAAACTAATGCTCGGATTTAGGAGGAAGTTGTAATGACTCAATTCCATAGAAGCCCCAATTTTGATATGATACTCAATGTCAATGTACAAGGACATTATTTTCTTTTCTCTTTATTTTATCCTTTTTTATCAGAAATTTAGATTCGAGCATGTACACGATATTTAATAATTGTGCATGAACCAGTTTTTTTTTTTTTTTCATAATCTTTATGCATATGAGAAAGGGTGGAAGGAAAGAAAGCTGCTGACTGTTTACGTACAGCTTTGAGAGAATATGGTCTCAAGTTTGGCACCATTCTGAATGATCCCGATTTGGCCTCATTTAGAGCGACACCCGAGTTCAAAGAGTTGCAAGAAGAGGTTAGCCACTCATAGTTGACTACTTTTGAAACTTCTCCTGCTTTGTTTGATTTGTGGGTGTTTGTAATGTCAAGTGTGGTTTTTCCATTCTACGGAAGGTTAAGTTGAGACCATTAACAGAAAGATAACAGAAAAACAAAAGTTAAATAAAATAATAAAAGTAGCATGAGTAAATATAAGCTATGTTTGGTAACCAAATAAGCTAGTTTTAGCTTATAAGTTTCATTTGGCAGGACGAGCTTTTCTCATAAGCTTCTTTTGGGTAGCTTTTCAAATCAGCTAGTTGAAATTTTTATTTCAATTAGCTTATCAGCTGATTTTATCGTATAAGCTAGTTTTTCAGCTATAAGTCATAAGCTATAAGCTATAAGCTCGAAAACCACTTATAACCTGTAAGTTAGCCTATAAGCTATCACCTAGTTTTACCAAAACATGGCCATAAATTTGTGCTATTTCCTTCTGTCGTGAACAGGCTGTATTGGGTGGAGAAGACATAGGATCTAGCTTCCGGAGAGATCTTAAACTGATTAGTGAGGTCCAAGCGCCTTTTCGTGGGATTCGAAGATTTTTCTATGTCGCATTCACAGCTGCTGCTGGAATTTCGTTATTATTCACTATTCCTAGGCTGCTTCGTGCGATCCAAGGTGGAGACGGTGCTCCCGACCTATTGGAAACTGCGGGAAATGCAGGAATCAATATTGGAGGTTAAATGACAAGCTTCATATAAAAAGGCGTTTTTGTTATTTTTATATTATTTACTAAAAGGAAAGAAAAGAAAAGAAACTGTTTCAAAAAAATCAATTAAATTTCAGGCTCAGTATGGTGCAGGTATTGTTGTTCTCGTGGCTTTGTTCTTTTGGGACAACAAGAAAGAAGAGGAACAGCTAACTCAAATTATAAGGAATGAAACTTTATCTCGGCTCCCTTTACGCCTTTCGACTAACAGGATTGTGGAGCTTGTGCAGTTAAGGGACACAGCAAGGCCTGTTAGTGACACTTCTTCTCTTATCTTTCACAATTCGAGTTCTCTTAAGATAATTCATAAATAATGATAATAATAATAATAATAACAACAACAACAACAACAACAACAACAACAATAATAATAATAATAATAATAATAATAATAATAATAATAATAATAATAATAATAATAATAATAATAACCGCTGTTTGGTCAGAGCATCATAGGTGTGGACCAACTCCTTTTTACACCTGAATTGGATTTTAAACTATCTTGTAATAAAACTACTTCAATATTTCTCAACTTGTGCTTTTTTCTTGAAAATGAACCATCGACCTTATTAGGTTATTCTGGCTGGGGACAAAGAGACAGTAGCTTCGGCCATGCGCAAAGCAGAGAGGTTTCGAACGGAGCTTGTAAAAAGAGGAGTGATTTTGATTTCCGTCGTGTGGGGAGAAGGCAGAGAATCACAAGTTGAGAAGAAAGGCTTCGGGCTTTCTCGAAAGGCAGCCGTATCACTTCCATCTATAGGGGTAACCATCACATTTGTAAATAAGATAGTATTATTTTTTTTATCATTATTATTATTTTATAGAAGGCAATTTTTCCTCTAAAATGATATTTCTCATTATCCATGTGAACAAAATGGTATTTCCTATAGGTGAGTTGATCATAAACTCCACTTATGATTTGTCCCACTCTTTGTGTGTGAGGGAGAGAGTTGATCGATTTGTTCTTCTTGGTTTTTAATAGGAAGATTTTGATAATCGTGCACAATCAATAGTTGCAAAATCGAAAGTCAAGGCGGAAATTCGATTTCGTGCAGAGGTGGTATCCCCCGTTGAATGGGAAAGGTTCGTTAGTCGCAACTTGCAAGTCATTGCTTACTTGTTGCTACCTCGGGCCTTTTTTTTTTACATCTTATATAAAAATGTGATAATGTTTCGAATTTTATCATGATCTGCTCATTTCAGGTGGATCAAAGATCAACAGAAGTCCGAAGGCATAACTCCGGGTGAGGATGTGTACATAATTCTCCGTTTGGATGGCCGTGTTCGGAAATCAGGACGGGTTAGTGATCCTTTCTCCACTATTATCATCAAAGAAAAAGGGAAAAAATAGAAAACAAAAATTTAAGATGAGGCATATTGATAATCAGTTGAAATTTGAAAAAAGTCACTCTTATCAACATTCTACACTAAGTAGGTTGAGGTTATTTTTTTTTGCATCCCTCATTGTAATATAGAGATTGACCATGTGTTGCAAAAGGTCCCATTACCAACAGATATTGTCAATGAAAGGGATTTTAGTAGACCAGTTACAATCCTTTGGGCAGGTGTAAATTTGACCCAAAAAAAAATTATTAATAAAATAGGCAAAATTGCCCCTAATATTATGACCTTCAAAATTGCAATTTACTCATGATATATATATTTTTTTTCATCCCTCATTGCAAATCAGTGCACGGGTTCTAAAAACCAGCTCTCGAAAGCTGATGTGGTCTATGAACAAATTGAAGATTGTGATATAGTACAAATTGAACATTGTGATACAACTTGAAATGTGAAAGGTCGTGATTAAATTGTAATTTCGAAAAATGTCGTGATATTAAGGGCGATTTTGCCCCAATAAAATGATATAAATTTTTGCAGTTAGTCTGAATTTTAGGGTTAGTGTGTGTAAACTGCTAAATCAATTCAACCCTACTTTTGACTACACCAGAGACCAGGTTTTTCACCGTTGGATCAAGAAAAAATGTGCAGTTGATCCAATGGTGAAAAATTCGGTTGTCGAGAGAGGCTAATATATGATGAGATTTGCTTCTCAGGGAATGCCTGATTGGTTAGAAATTGTGAAGGAGATTCCTCCAATGGAAGCATTTTTGAGCAAGTTAGAAAGATAGTGAACAAACATTATTCATATTTCTAAGGGGAGTTTTAATTGATGAAAGTTGTTGTGCATATTTATATTTTCCCCCTAATTTTGTATACTAATTGTGAAATGTAAAATTTATTTGTCTGAAAATTCTATTTGTATATTCGACTAGATATATCTGGTTAGAAATGCTATAGGTATATAATATTGTACATATGGGTGTACATAACTCTCACATCGAGTGAGACCTACCAAAGTGGGCCCCACTCTATGTGAGTATACATTTATTAGGTACTTGTAGCAATCGAGTGGGACCTACCAAAATGGACCTCACTCCATGTGAGTATATATTTATTAGGTACTTATAGCATTCTCCATGTTTGATGACCTTATTGCGTGTTAAGATCTTGTGATTTTGAAATGTTAATTTGTAAAATTTTATTTCTACATTCACATCAAGCTTGTGAAACTAATTTACAATTTGTAAAATGGAACAATTGTCAAGAGGAATTTGTAGTTCGAAAACATTAGAATCATTTTTAATTTTTTTTATTTTTTTCAATTATGCTAACTATTATTTGAATAGCTTTTTTTTCATTTAATTTTTTACTATAAACAAATTAACGTTTTTGCTATGAAGCTAACAGTTGGTTCTATATCGGAGTCAACCTTCTATGTACAACAAGTAAATCTATTATATTCTCTGATTACTTAAATAACACTAATATAATTTTATTAATATGGTGAGTTTATTTATTGTATATAGAAGGTTGGCTCAAGTATGGAGTCAACTGTTGGCTTCGTAGCAAAACCGAACAAATTAGAGAGAAAATTGATGGACATCATTTTCCATGGTAGGTATTGAAAGACTCATTGGCTTTTAGGGATTCAACTTCTCGACAACAACGATGATGCTCTTGAACATATACAACTAAGCCACATAACATTTTTTTAAAAAAAAAAAATTATATATATATATTAGTCACAAATTCTATGTTAATTCAATATTTTATGCCACAATTATCTGAAGGAATCACATCTGATACCCCAATTTTCCTCTTATTAAATTATTCAAAATCTTTGTGTGGGCAGGTTAAATTGCGGTTATTTTAATAGTATTTACTCAGGTTCAAGATTGGGACAACTCACCTATTTGATGGTTGTTGGGCATATCCTGATATGAACAATTTTTTGAAGTATTCAACTCTAGAGCTGCCTAATACATATATTTAAATTATTTGCCTCTTTGTTGTCATATTTTTTGAACAAATAATATAAGTTAGTATTATAAAATATCATGTCATAGTTGTATTCATGTTATTTTTTATTATGATCTTTAGTAAAAGGAAAAATTGTCCTTAATATCATGACTTTTTTCGAAATTGCAATTTAATCACGACTTTTTCCACTTTTGCAAATTATATCACAATCTTTAGTTCGTTGCAAATTGGTGCACCGATTTGCACATCCCGTGCACACTATTACATCACAATTTTCAGTTTATTGTTCGACCACATCAACTTTTCTATGACTGATGGTTTGCAAAAAATTAAAGATTGTGATATTATTTGTATAAGTGAAAAGGTTGTGATTAAATTACAACTTCGATAGATAAATGTCGTGATATTAGTGGTAAATTTGCCTTTAACAAAAAAAAAAGTATACATATCTGTTAGAATATTAAGAATATTTAATTATTTGTTATGCATAAAAGCAACTTTAATCATAAAAAAGTAATATATTTGTTAGAATATTATGAATATTTAAAAAAAAAAAAATTGTTGCTTATTTTTTTCTTCCCTTATACTAGCAATAATTAAATAACAACTCCATGATTGCATTACTTTGGGAATCAATATTTTCTAGCTATCAAAATTTATGTTCTTTGTTCGAGTTCATCTTACTTTTGTTGGTCTTCTTTTCTGCATGCTAATTAAATACCCTGAACAGCTAAGCATGAATAGAAATATAAGACTAAAATAGTTAGATTGATAGTAATACGAAATTATTTTCAATTATTTGGAGGACGAATAATATAATGTGATTTATTATTATTATTATTTTAAACAAACATCGACAACTTGAAATACAAAAGCCGACGTTATTCCCTTTCATTACATTAGAAAGAATAACGTGTTTATGGCCAAAAAAAAAAAAGAAAAGAAAGAAAGAATAACGTGTTCTCGACTAAAAAGTTCCAAGTCTACGGGGCATCGTTCAAAAATGGATCATAAAATTCAGTTGGATCTTGTTCGTATTTGATAAAAGCTCGTTTATTTATTAATTGAGTTGAACGTAAACAAAAAATTAAGTTTGTTTATTAATCGATTGAACACGGGCATTATGTTTGCGAAGTTTCGATAATGTCGGAGAACATTAGTTTAATATAATTTTCATTTATATTTACTTTATGATATTTTCAACAAAAATATCTAATGTGATTTGAAAATAGATTTATATATCGTCGGACTATAGTGATTTCGAACGAATTAATCCCACTTAACCAAGCTCGTTTATAAAACATGATCTAACTAAGATATTGACGAACAATTAAACAAATAAACTCAATTAATAAATGATAGAACTCAAAAAGTGTTCGAGCATAATTAAACACAAACTCAAAATACTCAAACTCAACTTGTTCGATTCGATTGCGTGAGAACTTATTGGAAAACTATTTATCAAATGTGTGCAATAAAAATGGTATAGAAGAATGATCCGAGGGAATTGTTGTTGTACTGATAATAATAGAGTATAGTTTCTATGTTAGCTTGTTTAATGATTAGATAGTAATATTATTTCAACAAATACATACTTTCATACTCAAATGTCGTATTTAAGACACATTAAGCGAAAATATGATAATTTAAAATAAATTTATGTATCATTGTAAAACGGCAAATATTATAATATTTGAAGGCAACAAACAAATGAATCCCAAACAAATAAAAAAGTAGAAAAATAAATGTAACACATGCCTGCAATAGTAGATAGTCATATTTATTCAACATAATTAAAGAAAATACTAAAGTCTGGAATTATATACTTACAAATTTTGTCGTTATAATAAAAAACAACATAATAAATGACATAGATACTCACGCAAAAATTTGTGGAATAAAAAATGCAAGTGAATGGCAAATTGGTGAATAATGAGAGTATTAGCACCATTTACTTAACCCCACAACTACTTAAAACGGACCCGCCAGCCCACACTGTGTGTCTTTGCCAATTAATCAAACAAAACAAAAACACCACCAAAACTTAAAAAAAAAAATATATTAAAAAAAATGGAGAAATCACACCTTCTTCGCTTCCTCATCGCCGCCGCAGCCCTGGCGGCCGCCTTCCTCAATACCGCCAACGCCGGCGAAGACTTTGGCTGGATCCCGGCGGCGACCTGCAGGGGATCGATTGCGGAGTGCATGGACGGCGAGTTCGAGCTGGATTCGGAGAGCAACCGGCGCATATTAGCCACCACAAAATACATCAGCTACGGTGCGCTTCAGCCGGGCAATATCCCCTGTTCGCGGCGCGGGGCGTCGTACTACAACTGCCGGCCGGGCGCCGAGGCCAATCCGTACACGCGGTCGTGCACCACCGCCACACGGTGCCGGAGTTAAATTATTAATTGCTTTTTTATCTAATTAATTTTGCCTTTTTTTTCCTTTATTTTTTTTTTAAAAAAAAATGCTTGTGGTGTTTATTGTTTGTGTATTGTAGATGGTAAATGATTGCAGGGCTAATTCAAGCAAATTCGACCTTGCTGGTGGTGAAGACACTGATCTCACTGAATATCTGAATGTACACATTTTATAATAATAAGGGTTGAATTTGGTGTGGTTTTACTTTTATATCTGAAAATACAATACCATCTTTTCATATTAACTCTTCATTGTTTCTCAAAACATTCATTTCTATTCTCGTTGATGAAGATTATTATTGGCAAAAAGAAAAATTCTTAATAATTGTGCAACTTTTAAAAACGACGAATATGAGGGACTAATAAATGTCAATATTTTTTATTTTTTTTACTGTTGAAAGATTTGATTATTCACACTTTAAAATAATATGTCTTGATTGCGGTGTCATTTTACATGTAATGCAAATACCTAGGGTTATTTTCTCGGAAAACAAATTGTTACACAGATACCTATTATTCAAATGTTGTGATGGTGTAATTATTTTTGTTCTTTATAAGTTCAGTTTTCGGTTAAATGAGGTTTGCACGAACGAACTCCAATGTATAAAAGAATAAACGCAGAAACTAACAAATCAAATTGAATTGTGCAATTACGCTTCCATTCAATTATATTTTTAAATGTAAAATAGATAATTTATTTTTTGTATGTATTGTAGTGCAACTATGATCCCGTTATGGTATCATCTCGTCGGGTATTTTAACCATTAGATCATTTATCTTATAGTACTAATTATATATGTATATAATGATTAAAATACCTGATGAGATGGTATCGTAACGGGACCATAGCATTTCTCCAAGTAATAGTCGGCCAAAGACACTAATTTTTACTCATATAGTTTTTTGCTCGAGGGAAAGTGAAGAGACAAGAAAAAGAAAGAAAAATATTTGCTGGTTTAAACACTTTTTATTGTAGGAATATCGTGTCCACAACTAACTAATTTTTCAAACTTTAATCAACAATTCATCATCACATCTCATCATCATCAACTCATGAAAAAATGTTACGGTCAATTTTCACCATTAAATTTCTACTCAACTAAAATAAATAGCAAGGTTTTAAATAGCGGGCTAAAACGTTTATGGCACTGTAGCTATAGCGGAGCTATAACGAAGATTTAACGGGATTTAGCGGTTAAATTGCACATGAATACAAATAGCGGCACGCTGCAAAAAAAAAACTATTTTTCAAATAGCGGCAACTTTAGCGAGCTATTTATTTCCTTGATAAATAGTTATATTTTAACGGAAAATTCAATACAAAAAGTATTACGACAACGTTCCAACTGATATTCCAAGTATAATTGTGGCAACAATTTTATGTAAAAATGTAAAGAGCGCTGGTTGAGTTTTACTAATCAAACGATGTTGTGAGCATATATAATCACTATTTATATTGTCTGATTCTTCTTTTCTTGGAGTTTGATTTCGATATTCAATTTTTCCCATGATTGATCTCGAATTATAAAACTAATTAAAACATCTACTAATACTAATTAAAAATTAATAAAATTATATGTCAATTCAAAAAGTCATCTATGGATACATTATTTTAGAAAAATTATTATAACATAAGATGGGTAAATCATATATACAAGTGAAAATCTAAATTTATATATAAATATTATTGTGATTTAAAAAAAAAGTGTTTGATTTCAAAAAAAAAAATAAAGTATCTCCCTTATATTTTAAATAACGTTAATATAATTTTTTTAACTACCATCCGTGTAATTCGAGGTATTGTACTAATATATGTTCCGAAAAACATGTTCAAACCACTTCAAATTGTTCATTCTACTATTCTAACAACACCTACAATTTTAAATACTAATATTAACAATTTAATAATTCAATAATTTTTAAATAAAAATATTTTTAAACACATGCTACTGTAAAAATATTTAGTTAATTATTACCCATTTGTATTGTAAAATCAAATGACGCATGCTACTGTATAATTTGAATGTTTTTGACTGGGCTTGAACTCCCCACATGGGCTTTCAGGCCTAATCTTAATAGTTGGGCCATGCCCTGGGATCTGGCCCGTTAATGCAGCTAAAACCCTTTCTAATTCTCAGCCCTCACGAACAGAGGTCTGATAATTTGTCTCATATAAATGCTATCAAATTGCTCCCTCCTTCAAATTGGTCGACTCATTTCAAGCAGCTCAGCTCAGGTATTGAGCTTCATCTTCTTTTCTGCTCTGTGTTTATTGTGAAACCGTCATGCTTAATCGTCTCCGTTTTAGCTTATTAATGCAATTTTGGGGTTTTATTATCGAAAAAAAATGATATTTACTGCACTTTTTAGATGTTCGTGTAGCTCTTGCTTTTTGTTTAGCCAAGTAGTTGGGCATTTGTTTTAGGGATTAATAGTTTCTGGGATTTCATGGGTTTGTTTTCGTGTGTTCTTATATTGTTTAGCTAGGTGATTCTTTAGTGAACCTTTTTTTTTT